TGGCGCTATGTGGCCGCGTGGCAGCGGCCACGTGGTGCAACATGTGGCCGGTTAGCCCGTGCTGGAAGGCCCCCGACGCTGAGAAGGAGGCTGCGACACTTCGCATGGCTGCACTCGGGAACGCGCGGGAGATCCTCATGAACCCAGGGTTGCGCATTCTCCACGACAACCTCCTGGGGATCGGTGGAGCAGCTCCTCCTCCCTCTCATGGCGCACCGCCCCCTTCTTCTTCCTCGGCACCTCCCCAGCCGAAGCCTGAGCCTTCGAGCCCGCCCGGCCCTTCAGCTTCCTCATCGTCCAAGGCGCCACCGCCAGGACCGTCTGCTACCGGATCGAGCTCGTCGTGGGGCGACAAGGGCAAGGGCAAAGGCCCCTGCACGCAGAAGGGGAGAAATGTTTGGGAAGATGTCCATGGGAATGTCTTCGAGGAATGTTCGGACATGTCCGATGTTTCGGAGGCCACTTTCCAGAGTGATGGTTCGTGGGACTTAGACTCCGAGTCTTCCGGTCCGGAAATCGACCGGTACCCTCGAATCCGTAAAGGCAGGACCCTACGCTTCTGTCGACAATGCGGGCATCACCAATATTGGGGCGAAGGCTGGTGTTTTGGTTGTGGGTGGGTTCGCACTCACCGATGCTGGCGCTGGGAACGCTTTCCCGGGTTCGGCAAAGGAACCAAAGGGAAGGGGAAGGGGAGTGGTGGCGCCCACACTGGCCGAGCTGGACCGAGGCATCCAGGCCCCAGGCGAGACCGCCCTGAAGCCGATTCTTCAGCTGGTCCACCACCCTCGGGTTCCAAGAAGGCTCCGCCCCCACCTCCGGCTGGTGAGAGCGGATCAAGGACCAAAGCCCCTCCACCCCGAGAAGGTTGCTTCGATACCTGGTGGTGCTTCAACTGCAAGACCAAAGTCTCGATCCAGGCGCCGAATTGCCACACATGCAATCGTTTTCGTGGAGACAACCGCAGCTGGAGGGAGGCTGGGTCGCACCGCCCCGCTTACAAAGCACCACCGAAGGCGAGACCTTCCTCTCCACCGACTTCTTCGGCTATGGGATCTTCGCAAGCACCACCGCCAAGCCCTTCGGCAGCACCGCCCCCGTCGAAGGCTGCTCCGAAGGCCCCACCACCCTCAGTTTACAGCAACACTCTACACTGGGTGTGTGGGAGATGTGGCGAAGTGAATGGACTACATCGGCTGCAATACCTGTGGGTCTTCGCAACACTCTGCGGGCAACGTCCACGAGCAAGCCACCCATTGGGTGTGTCCTCACTGCCAAGACGAAGTGTCTGTACGGAGGAGTGTGTGCGAGTGCGGGAAATGGAGGCCCAAGATCGGTCCGCTCCTGAATCATGGTCAGACAGCGGAGGATCGCCTGGTCGCTAAAGGAGCAGCTGCCGCACCTGTGGTCCTCAACCGGCGGGAGATCGTCAACCAGGGCCCAGATTTGGGACTACCTGGCATTGCTGCTTCCGGGGGTTCACATCCAGCATCTGGAGGTGAAGCAGTGGATTCCTCACCTCCTGAAGCCAGTGCAGAACCTATTGTTGAGGTTGAAGAGGCTCAGGGGTTACACCCACACAATGGTTGCTCCAATCTCGACAAGTCCCTCATCGATGGAGGTTGACGAGCCGGTCCCACACTTTGTTCCCCCCACGCCGAAGCTCTCGACGATCCCCGCGAAAGCCTACCCGGGGAAAGCAGTCTGGAGACCACCGACGACCTGACTACCTCCTCCCGACCGGTTTCCTACGCCCCGGGGGACTTCATGGCCGAACCGGCCCCCGAGCCTGGAAGTGAGGACACCACCGGCTCAGGAGCTACGGGCAGTGGCCACCCCGGACCGGACCCTGCCCCTAAAAAGGCAAGGGCTCCCGCGCGGGACCCACGGCCGTTGGCTATAGTCCTACCGAATGGGGAGGCCTTGTGGTTTACAACCAGGGACATTGATGCCGACACCCCAAGGCTGGTGATTCCCTGGTCGTTGTTCCAGTACCTGGCTATGTCACTGAGGCCTCTCAGTGGTTTTCAGTCATGGGGCAGGGTCGGCGTGGTTTGTGTCCGCCGTGTGGCACAAGATATCATCAACGATGCACAGCAACGGGACTTTATGGACCGTATCAAAGAGGTGAACCGCAGCAATCCTTGGCTGATGGATTTAAACTCTGCTTATCCAGAGCCCTCAGATGCGGTTATCCCTATCAGTGCCTACACGGGGACGCACCGTCCACATTTCAACTTCAGGAATTTCCTGGAGAGACCAGGCCTTGGACAACACTTTTATCCAGGCGAAGGACCGCCCAGGCCAGGACGGGGTCGGCTCCCCTGCGTGTACGACCAGCCCAAGCACGAAATGCCGTTGGCAGCTTCATTGAAAAAGCCGATCATGCCTCCAACTGCATGGGCCTGTGGGCGAGGACGCTTCTGGGGCAAGAGACGCGACCCCACCGTCGACAGGTGCTCCACCAAAGGCTACATCGGGAGCTACGACTTCGGCCCCAGCAGCTGAACCAGCCCTGAGAAGCCGAAGAGGAGGACGAGTCCGACATGGAACTGACAGCTGAGCTGAGGAGAGGGCCGAGGTGGCTCGGATCGAGGCAGAATGCTCTGAGCTGGAGAGACGGATGAGGAACCTGTCGGTGACCCAGCAGCGATCGCTCCGCGAGAACCTCGCGAATGCTTCGAGCGCCGTGATGGATGGACTTTTAGCAGACACTGTCAGGCACACCGCCCAGCTGCGAGGGAAAGGAGCAAAGGGTGGAGGAAGGCCGAAAGTTAAGGCCAACCAAACTTCGGCGGACAACGACCCCAAGTACTTGGAGGATCTCATCCGGGCTTGAGCCACACAGAGGCCTTCGTTCGACATCGCTCTCGGCTGCGAGCTATCCAGCACCAGATGGAGCATGGAGATGTTTCCCTGCAGCCTCGAGCGACACAGCTGCAGACCGACAGGCCGTTACCGCCAATGTTGAGCCTTGGGAGGTCGCACCGACTGGGCCTCCTTGAGAGACTCGATCGGCTCGAACGACAGGGTTTCACTTGGACACAGGAGGAAGTCGATGGTTGCCTCACCATGGAACACTTCCTCAACTATTTGGAGACGAGGGGAGTCAACCCAGCCGGTGCTCCACCTGAAACCCCGGGAACAGCCTCGAAGTCCGCAGGTGCTCCGCCTCCTCCAAGCTCGGCTCCCACCGGAGCAGATGAGAACAGGAGCACCTCCACGCGGCAGAACCCAGTGCTCGTCCGACCCGAGAACTACTACGATGAGCAACGACGAGACACTGGGGACCCCGAGTGCAACTGCGAAGGCGCCGGGTGCACCACCCTCTGGAGCATCACCTGAGATGCCCTCCTCGACCGGAACGAGCTCCACTACAGCACCGACTACCACCGCAGCCGGGCGGCCAGTTGACCTACCTGAGCAAGAGGATCCTCCGGAAGGTCACAGCTCGGCATCTACGGTGACGAGTGAGCCGGCTGAAGGAAGAGGAGGAGAGGCTACCAGCACCGGCACCTCTCTGCCTCCAACAAATGCCTCGAGGCATTCTGCAGTAGGCAGGTTTTTTCTTTAAGA